CAGAAAAATCCACACTTTTAACTTCACACTTATAGTCTTGTGTGTATAAATTAGTCATTACATTATCCAAGCAGGATTTACCTCTTGTTGGTTTATCGTTGGCACAATAAATACTGAATTGTCCAAGAGTATTCAAGAATTTTCCAACTGTTTGTTTTTGAGTTGTCACATCAAATTCTGCATTAACATCCCCGCATATGATTATTTTACTATTAAGTGTAATCAAATATTTTAAGACACTCTCTAAAGATTGCAAAAATACTTCAGGGCAGCCATTATGTGACCTATACAGGGAAACAATAATCAATTTAAAGTCAATGAGCTCAATACCCGTGACCTCGAAATCCACCTCAATAGAAAACTTATTCAATTCAATTTTCCTGAACTTTAACTGATCATCAAGAAAAATACACACACCACCGTGAATATGCTGCCCACGACAAAAGCTGTTTCCTAGTGCAAGTCCATTGGGCACGCAAAAGTCAATTTCTTCAGACTTTAACCAGTGTTCAGCAACACAAATGATTGAATAATTTATTGTATGTTGTAAGATTTCTACTTCTTCTATTTTATTTTGTAAACCCTGGATATTAATAAAAAAGAGTTTTAAATGTTCCTTGTTGATGTGGACCTTCTTAAGTGAGCCTATGGTGGTAAAACTGGATGTACAGCAGAGAGGTTTTCCGATAATGTATCATCTTCATCTCTCCTCAGTTGTGGACTCGGCCTTACCATAGACGTTGTTTCAGCATTACCCTCATAAAGTGACTCCCGATGTTGTAATTCACTGTGACACTCCTTTGAAGCCAAAGATAGTTGTGAAGCTGAAGCTAACATCAAGCTGTTATCAAGACTAACAGACAAACTGGGCACTTCCGTATCAGTTTTTCTTTCAAGAGCATCACAGATATTTTTGGCCAGCCACTGCTTCCCCTTTTTATTTAAATGCATCCCATGGCGAGTGTGCAGATGTCTTTCAGCTACGCTAATATTGACCAAAGACACATTTGGAAAACTCTGACTTAAGTCTTTTAGTGTCTTATTAGATTTTCTTATTTCTTTATTTACACATGACCATTCTTTTAAGTCATGCCTATGTGGAAAATCAACTAAAACTATTGTGGAGCTCTCATATTTATGCAGGGTGTCTTTTACAAGGGTGGTCATTCTTTCCGCTTCATTCCGAGCAATATCATTCGAGCCACAAGCAATTACCAAAACATCTTCAGGGCCCAATTTCTCTCCCTCAATGTTTTTCCTATTTAGGATAGATTCTGCTTGACCTCCCGGTCTTATAAATCCAACAGCCTCGTAAGATTTTGAAAAACGATTTATATGATAAGATAGGCCCCGTCCGTGACTATCTGCACATATAAGCATTTTGTGTTTTTTAGTACACGTATCTTGGTTGTTTTTATGTCCAACACGTGCTGTCTTCAATTTATTTTTTGATTTTACACTACCATTCCCTTTTAGACCCTTATTATTTTTTGTTGTTAGGCATTCTTCTTCATCCTGAGATTTTTCCGTTTCAACATCTTGTAAAACTTCAAAACTATTTGTAGATGTAATATTTGTTGCATTGACCTTTATACTATTAGTTTTACCTCTACTAGTAGTTGGTACGGTGTGCCATTCATTAGAGACAAGCTTTTGCTGATCAGATGTTCTTCCAAGAGGGGGGAAACAATTAAGACATATAGATTTACCAGTTTCATCTTCATTAGTTTCCATGTTTCGTGGTTGCTTTTTTTCTCTTTCTAATATTTGTATGACTGTCTCTAGTGTCCTTATAGTCTCCGCCATTTTTTTTGTTTCTTGTTTGTAGACATCACACCTGTTACATTTATTGTGTGCTTCTGAGTCTTTCATACAAGTGTTGGCTCTAATGTCCTCTTCATAATGTAAAACTAGCATACCCTTAGCCTCTTTTTCTTTTTTGAGTTGATGCTCCAACTGTCTTACCCTATCTAAAAGTTCATTTTCATTATCTTCAACCTGTTTTTTAAGGGATTTAATAACCTCTTCATTTTCTTTAACTTTATCTTCCAACTCCAGAACATAAAAAGAGCTTTTATTTTTTGCTTCATACAGTTCTTTCTTCAGTTCTTCATTTTCATTAAGAATAGATGTGTTAATTTCTTCTGCTATTGAGGAACAATTCAGCTCACTAGTGCTTTCATTAACGTCAATCACACTGCCAGATATTGCAGTTTTATTATTATAATCTTTTGTTTCCTCACCTTCTCTGCAAACTGAACATTTCCACACCCCTATACTGTTATTCCTTTCCATATCTTTTACTTCTAAAACACTTAAATTTTGACATCTAAAATGAAACCATTTTTTGCAATTTCCAGTACATAAAATGGCAGAAAATTTCAGATTTACTCCACAAATACCACAAGGGTATTTAGCCATAGCAAAAAGGTTAGTTAGATCTAAATATTATTTTTTTTTTTTATGTTTGTAATTTGAAGATAAAAAGTTTAGTCCTGTACCAGGTTTCGAACCAGGGTCCTTCAGTTTACCAGTCTGTTACTCAACCAAGTGAGCCACCGCTCCTCACCCTAGAGGGGTTGTCAGTTACAACAATACTTATTCAGATTATGTAGTTGGTCATTGTTAGAACAAGTCTTCTTGCAAGCTTTGTTGAGACCTAGTCTGTGATTTATAAAAAATTGTTATATGTAGAGTTTGTTCAAAAATTAACCACTCTGTGCTTCATAACTGAAATTTTATAAGTAAAGAAAACTTTGGCAAGACTGGAGAATTATTTTAATAGCAAAAAATGAAAATCTAACAGATGCTCTTTATAGGTTAAAACATTGTTAAAGCATCTGTATGTTGAAAAATGGGCACAGAATTAAAGAGTATATCCACTGCTTGAAACACCAACATAACCTCCCCAAAGTTGACACATTTCTGATAAATATTGAATTTAGCTTTTTTATCTCAAAAGAAAGTGAGTTATTGAGTTGGACCAAAGGGAAACCATAACCCATGATAGGTCTTGTTAATAATGTGAAATAAACACATTATTTATTATGACAGATCTAATCCTCAACAGACACAATCATGGACAATCTTAGTTGTTATTGTTTTATGCAACTTTCACAAAAACAGTAGGTAAAAAAAAGGAACTGCCATCTTATCATGCATACTTAATGGTTGCCAATATGACAGAGTGAAGCCCATGTATCAATTTATGTTTTGTCTTTCATTCCAATTCCGAACATTAGTTTAGTTATCTTTGCCATGTGAGGCATTGTTTTCGAAGTATAATTTTAACTAGCCCACATTAAAAACCTCAAAACACATCAAACAAACGATGAGTGGCATAGTTCCAATCTTAACTGGTAGCAGTAGTGCTCGATTTGCAGTAGAACACAGTGGAATGGCGTTCCGGTACTTCTCTTTTGGAAAGATAAAAAGTCAAGCACTGGGTAGCAGCAAAAGATACTACGGCAGTTTTGTATGACATGTTTATTCCACTTGTGTTTACACTACTCAAGTTAAATAGTTAAATACATTGGCATCGTCGGCATAAAAAGATTGAGGGGGACAAATGTAGGAAGGGGGGTCCACTGAGGGGCTTGGGGGGTGCTCCACACCCCCCAATAGGGCCGGGGGTCCACCCCCGGAAAAATTTGTAATTTTCTAAGCAGTTTGGTGACTTTCTAAAGCCATTTTTACACCAAAAACCGTGCCCAATTGTCCATGAACTCCCATTTCACCTGTTGTCTGTCATGAGCAAATAGACAATTTAAAATTTAAACTATGACGATTGCATTAATGAATTTAAAAACACGCTGTACACTACGGCGATATCCTCCTAAAAACCGTTTGGTGACTTTATACAGCCAGTTTTAACGTCTAGAACTGTGTGCAAAAACCGCTCATTTCCCCCTTTATTTGTCATGAATAAGTAGACATTTTTAAAACTAACTATGACGATCGCATTCATTCATAAATCTCAAAAAATATTGTAGGCTACGGCCGTATCCTCACAAAAAGCTGTTTACTGACTTTCTAAAGCCATTATTAATGTTTATATCTGTGTCCAACTGTCCAACAATCTCCCGTTTCACCTGTTATTTGTCTTTGTCATGAGCAAGTAGACATTTAAAAAATCAAACTATGACGAACTTGCATTCATGAATTTCAAAACATAGGCCTACGGTAGACTACGAAGCCATATCTCCCAAAAGCCGTATGGTGACTTTATAAAGCCATTTCTAACGGCTAGAACTGTGCCCAATTGTCCTAAAACCTTCCATTTCACCTGTTATATGCCATGCAAGCAAGTAAATATGTTTTTTTAACTTAACGTTTTTCTCCATTTCTTAGATCTGTCACAATATGTATAGCATCAAATTCAATGACGTTTGAACACTAATATTTAAACCCACAATCTTACATTTTTACAAGCAGGTTTATATAAACAATTTGTTTTTGGCCTTCTGCTCGCTTCATTTAACAATAAACTGTTCAAGGTTCAAGTATCAACTCTTACAAAAAGTATCAACTAACCTAAAAGAACTTAACCGATACTACCGACAGATACAGCACACGAGGAGAAAAAGGTTAACGTAGGCCTACATCTAAATGTAGTATCAACCACTGCCGACTGACGGTGACGGAACGGACTGAAAGTCTGACTGAAACACGAGAAGACATTCAAAACAAGCGTCTAGGCATCCAGTGCAACTCGAGGATCGTGGATCGGAACACCCCTCCACCACCGCACCACGCCGCACGCTTCCGAATCACACAGCGAAGCGAGCACCTTGCTTGCTGGCAGCGATAGATCGGGTAAACACACATTCTATATGATTTTTAAAATTCCTTTAAAAATTTGGGATGGGGGACAAAACTGACTTTTCAAATATTGGGGGGGGGGGGGGGACGCGTCCCCCAAGTCCCCTATAGCGGCGACGCCCGTGGTTAAATAGGACCTAAGCATTTTAACATCAAAATTGGAAATTAAAAACACTCACCAGTTCAACAAACTCTCCATGGATGTTGCCACCAAATAGCTCAAACTTTCCAAGCTTTTTTGTTTCTAACTTAACAGGACCACTTGTAAATGCCATCACCATCTAAAACAAAGACTGATAATTAATGTGGAAACCTTAAAATAAGTTGCAAACAACATTTTGGGCTTGTTATTTTTTCTTAAAAAACTATCAAATAACACACAAATCTGATAAAAGCAAAGATTTTGATTAAAATTTAGTTTTTTAAAGTAATTTTTGTAGTGTTATCGCAAGTTAAATTAAAATATAGTTTTAATAAGACAAATACTTTATTAGCTAGCTTTTTACAATAAACCAGATTCAGAATGTTTATCAACAAAAACTAAACAAATAATATTCTAACACCATATGTTTTCAAACACATATGAATAACAACACATCTCCCCTTTAAAGATCGAACCTCCGGGTAGGTTTGAATTGTCTTGTTGATCTTCTTAGATTCGCTAAAGGATTTGTCTGCGATGGTTCTGATCTTCTCAGGTTTTCTGAGGGACTGGTCTGCAGTGCTGGTTGATCAGAAGGCATAGTAGTGCTAAATCTTTGCAGTGATCTTCTGTTCCTCCGCAAACAACCATCTTGCGTTTGAATTATATAGGATCGAGGTGCAGGATGTTTGTTTAATATAGTTCCTTCTTGATTCCTGTCCTTTATATGGACTTGAGCTCCATAAGGTAGAGTAGGCAATTCTGTGGCTCTATGTCTTTTGTCAAAATAAATCTTTTGACGATCAATTCTTGCTTCTTCCTTTTCCCTTAACTTTTCAGTGTCTACCAGATAGGGTATTAGTTGATCAGACATTATCGGAACATAAGTGCGGATCCTTCTCCCGAAAAGTAATTCCGCTGGACTTTTCCCATTTTCCAGAGGGGTTGCTCTTAACATAAGTAGCATTTTGTAGGGATCATCACTTTTTTCTAAGTGGTACTTAAAGTTTTTTACTTGCGCTTCTATGAAGCCGTTGCTTTGTGGAAATTTTGGACTTGATGTAATCAATTTAAATCCATAATCACGACCAAGTTGTTTGAATTGACAGCAGTCAAATTGAGAACCACAGTCTGCTCTCACTGTCTCAGGTACACCATGACGTGCGAAGATGGACTTTGTATATGTCACAATAGTGCCCATTTTTAAGTCATTTAGTCTAGCAATCTCCATAAACCTGGAATAATAGTCTGAGATTAAGAGATACCAGTGACCTTTGCACTTCAACAAATCGGCACCCACTATTTGCCAAGGTCTATCCGGATAAGGGGTTGGTATCAGCGGCTCTGCTCTCGTAGCGCGATTTTCTGCACATGTCTTGCAATTTTCTACTAGTTCTTTGATTTGTTGAGAAAGACGAGGCCACCACACAGTCAATTTTGCAAAAGATCTACATTTTGTCATGCCTTGATGTCCTTCATGAATACTTCTTAGTACATTAGCTCTTAGAGAATTTGGTATTATAATACGACTTCCAAAGAGAAGTATACCATTTTGCTCACTTATATCTTCTCTATGATACCAGTAGGGCAATACATCTTCTGGAATCTTAGATTTTTCTGGCCAACCTTTCGCACAATACTGTGACACATGTTTTAGAGTTTCATCTTTCATAGTTTCTTGATTTATTTCTCGCAACCTTTCATCCGAAACTGATGGTAGAGTAGTGTCAATGTTTTGTATATAAGCAAGGATTTCCTCTGTAAGTTCCCATTCCTCTTCAGAGTTCTCTGTGTCTCGAGACAGTGCATCAGCCAAAATCAACTGTTTACCGGGCGTGTAGGTAATGTCATACGTATATCTCATCAGTCGGAGTCGTATTCTCTGAAGCCTGGGAGTAATATTGTCCAAGTCTTTTATCTTGAATATGAAGAGCAAGGGCTTATGGTCTGTCTCAATATGCAAATGCAACCCTAAAATGAGGTGTTCACAAACCGTTCACACCCCCAAGCAATGGCTAGAGCTTCTTTTTCTATTTGAGCCCAATTACGTTCGGCTGATGACAAACTTCTCGAAGCATAGGCCACCGGACGTTTAGTTCCATCTTCTTGAAGCTGAATTAGTGCAACTCCAATACCGTATGACGAGGAATCCGCTGAGAGGAAGGTTTCTTTAGAAATGCTGTATAAAGCGAGACACGGTTCGGACATCAATGACAGTTTAATCTTTTCCAAAGCTTGGTCTTGATCAGGCCCCCAAACAAATTCTGTATTTCTTTGCAGTAAAGCATGTAGTGGATGAACTATGGTCAACAAATTACGAATAAACTTGGCTACGTAATTGACAACACCTAGAATTCTCCTTAGTTCTTTAACATTAGTTGGCGTCTTGAGTTTTTGGATAGCCTCAACACGAGAGGGATCTGGCTTAATACCATTTTTAGTTACAAGGTGGCCTAGTAAACTGATAGTGTCATGCCGGAACACACATTTTGATCTATTAAGTGTCCAGCCCTTTTCCTGGAGCCTACACAAAACACGATGTAAATTTTTGTCATGTTCTTCCATATCTTTCCCGTATATAGTTATGTCATCGAAATGGCAAACAACACCTTGAAGGCCTTCAAGTGATTCAGACATTTGACGCTGGAATACTTCTGAACCAGTGGAAATCCCGAAAGGAAGTCGTAAAAATCTGAACCTTCCAAAAGGTGTGATGAAAGTAGTCAAATATGAAGCTTCTTCTGTTATGGGTATTTGCCAATAACCCGAGTTAGCATCTAGTTTCGAGAACACCTTAGCACCATCTAATTGTCCCAGAGTGTAGTCTACAGAGGGCACAGGATATAGTTCTCGTTTAACACTCTCATTAAGTTTAGTAAAATCTACGCAAAGTCTTATTGAATTGTCCTTTTTAGGGACAATGACAAGAGGTGAACACCAGTCAGTCGGAGTGTCTACTCTCACGATAACACCTTTATCCAACATTGCATCTAGTTCTTTTTTTACAGCATCTTTATAGGGTAGGGGAACACGCCTTGGAACTTTGAGAGAGTACGGTTCAGTGTTTGGCTTTAATTTTATATTATAATGAGCTTGTGTATCACCAAGACCGCTGAAAAGTTTAGGGTATGATGTAAAAGGATCAAATGAGCCAGTTGAGTTGACTCGAAACATCCTTTTAACTAGACCCAATTTTTCACTAACTTCATTGCTCAAAAGGGTTCTATCAGCACCAGATATTACATAAAACTGAGACTTACAATATTGATTCTTGTACTGGATTGTACCCTCGAATACGCCTAAGATATTAAGGACAGATCCGTCAGGCCCAATTAAAGTTTTGTTACTTGAATTTAGTGGGTACATAAATAATTTCAACTTATAGAGTGATTGGGGCAAGACACAAACGTCAGCTCCAGTGTCTATCTTAGCTTGAATACATACTCCATTTAGTTTAACTTCAGCAGACCATTTTGCTTTAGGATTCTTTTGAGGATTAACAGACCCCACAAATTTGTCACTCTTAATAACTTCATCTTGAAGAGGGTTTGAATTTATTTCCTTGACATTTTTGAACTGGCAACATTTAGCAAAATGGCCCTTCCTGTTACAGTTTCGACAGAAAATATTCCGGGCAGGACATTTTGGTCGTTCATGTTGAGCGTTACCACACCACTGGCATTGATTATAGTAATTGGTACTGGACGCTTTGGAATCAACTGGAGGTTTCTGAGCAAATTTAGTGCCCCAAGTCCTTGAAGTGACTTTATCTGCAGTTAGTGCATGTTCAGAAGACCCGGACCTCATCAATGATTGTTGCATTTTAACCGATTCGGCTTGCTTAACATTTGAGACAGCAGAATTAAGGGTTAGATCTGCATTCATTTGTAGTTTTTCAGATAAATTTTTGTCTCTAATCGCTACAACAAGTTGATCTCGTATAGCCTCATCTTTATAAGAAGCAGGAAAATCGCATCTAGAAGCCATCTCATGAAGATCATGAATCAAACTCTCAACACGCTCTTCCTCATGTTGAACCCTAGTATGAAACATGTACCTCTCATAGATTACATTCTTAGAAGGAGCGAAATATGTATCAAATTTTTTTTAAACAGTTTTGAAACTTTTACATTCCTCAGATGTCAAATTAAATGATTCAAATATGCTTTCGGCCTTTTCGCCCATCATATATAGTAAGGTGTTTACCTGATATGGTTCGTCTTCATTGGTGAGCCCAGATACCGCATGAAAGCGCAAGAAACGGGTTTTCCATTTAGACCAGTTTTCTCCTTTAAAATCAAAATGTTCTGGGGTAGGAACACTAAAACTTTTCATCTTCATGTACTGTATATTGCTAAAACAATAAGAAGCCCGCTGCCACCATGTAGTGTTATCGCAAGTTAAATTAAAATATAGTTTTAATAAGACAAATACTTTATTAGGTAGCTTTTTACAATAAACCAGATTCAGAATGTTTATCAACAAAAACTAAACAAATAATATTCTAACACCATATGTTTTCAAACACATATGAATAACAACACAATTTTAACTCTAAACAATACAGAACAGTGCTCAATGCGGCAAAAACTTCAGTTCAAAAGTTATTGCAAATTACGGCATTTCCTCATAAAATAACAAAAAAAATCACATCAAGACCGCTTGACCAATTTTGATTAAAATTTAGCATGTCATATCCTTTTATTTTAGAAACAAAATAGTTCAACACTCAATGTTTTTTTAAGAATTACGGCTAGTGATTTCCCCCAAATAAAATATCATAGTTACTCTCACAGCTTACCTCATAAAGGTTGTTGTCAAGCTAATGGGAGAAAGTATGTGTCAGATTGATGATACCATTAATTTAATACTAGCTGTTGCCTTAATTGATGACAATGTACATTCAAAAGTATTTATCTGTTCAAATGTAAACAAATCTTTTCTCCATAAGGGTAACATGGGAACTTTAAAGACCACTGGGGCAGAGCCCTGAGGAGTTTTCCAAAATTTTATTTCACACAAATCTTCTTTGGGTTGTATGTAATAAGTTGCCAAAGTTTCATCACGATCGGATGGCCGGTTTGGTATTGCATAAAGGACAAATGAACAAGAAACATTACATTGGATTTGATACATTTGACAATTTGATCACCACACATAATCGACAATTATCAAAACTTAACACTCACCTCAGGAACTGTCAGCGCTCTGTATAATTCTGTTCCAGTACATTGAAACATCACCGTCATTTTCACTGTGCTAGTTTCTATTTTGACACCCTTAGAACCACTTGTGTTGTTACTTTGATTAACCTGCACCTGTAAACAGTTTTAATTAGTGACTAGTAACCTGTGTCACTTTGTGACTTCAAAATCTGTGATATAACTGATATATAGTTGATAAGGGTGAAAACTATTATTTGTCATCATATCCCAATTATTTGCATTGCGAGCCCTACTATTTTCATGGTGGCACGATCTATTTGAGGTACCTTAGAAGAATATCAATTACTAATAAATCATACTATGAAAACACAAAATCTAACGTAAGTAATTTTCTTCTTTACATTTTATACAAATAACATTACAACATTTGAGTTGAATTCACTGAAACATCACCAACTGTGATTTACCAACTAAAGATAACACCATTGTCGTATGGATGTAAACAAAATTGTATCATGGCCATCTGCTTTGATGTAAACAAATGTAAACTTGAAAAAATTCAGATTTCAGAGATTGTAAATTTCAGAATTCAGCACAAACTATGAAACTTAAAAAGCCTTTGGACAAAGGACTTTCACGGTTATATTATTCAAACCCGCAAAAGGCACATAGAGGATAAGAGCTTTAAATTGATACCCAATATCCCTATAAAAATGAATATATAAGGGTCGATTTGCTGTACACAAAAATACAACAAATCCTTTAAATAATATAGGTAATCAGTTGGCCATATTCTTCAATGCATTATGGCAATCAATAAAGAAGGATTAGCAAGTCATTAAAATTTCCAAGCAAGATAATGTATGAGATAAAATATAGTTATCTTGGTAAAGCTGTGTGAATGTTTTGTGCAAGCAAATAAAATTAAAGTCTCAATAAATTCAGTTACTTAGATGCATGGATGTGTCTGTCTCCGTAAAGTGCCACAAGCTATATTTAAGATTATAGAACATTCCAACATTCTATAATTCATCTTAATCAATCAAGGCATTAAAAATATGTCCAAAATGTCATACTCATTTGTATATTTATTGATATTTCTTTTCTTGAAAAACAATGTTCACATGAAAGTAAATTTTGAGATTTAGTTTTGTAAAAAGCCTACGGTACTTTATAATTTGTGCATTTTCTTTAATACAGTCTAATACAGATGAAAAGCCACAAAATTATAATTTATTGGTCATTTTGAATTTTGGTAATCAATCAAATCTTATAATACCGTATCAGTATTAACAATTATTTTTTTGGTGATGAACCTTGCAATTGTTAATACAGCTTTGTTTGCTTATACTGTACCTGCTTGTTGCTTGAAATGTACCCGTAATTCTGTTAGTTGTCAAAGTCCTTGTACATTTACAGTAAGATAAATCGGGTATTATTTATTTTTATAAAACACTTGGTTTGGACATGATCCCACTACCTACTGATTGTTCTCTTCAAGAAATCAAAAGTGTAAAGTGCTTTATCAGGTGTAATATAAGGAAATGACTAATATTTCCAAACAGATTGTTTATTTAATTTAAATATTTACACTAGTGATGAAAAATTAATGGTTACGGTATTTGACTAATTTCAACACTACATCATTCGCACAACATGCCATAGAGCACAAACAACTAAACAAAAATAATCTTTGTTTTGGAAAGTTAACAATTATACTGAAATTGAGAATAAGATAGACCACTACTTTCTCTGCTTATTTTAAAACTTAGAATCAATACTGATTGCCTTTCTGTTGCATATTTTACTTTCAACCAACATCAAAATTTGCTTTCTGGTGCTTAGTTTACTTTCAATCAAAAATTGATTGTGTCCCTATTACTTGGCTTCCTTTCAATCCACATTTATTACCTTTTTGTTAAAACCACTTGATAGATTTGAGATCTGTTTATCTTGAGAACTTTGATCTTCCTTCTTGGGCAGGATCATTCCTTTGGAGAATTCTAAAAAAGACAAAGAAGAAATCACAAAATGTATCCAATAACATAAAATCACAATAATCAATAGGTAGTAAATGTTTTAAAACTAATTTCAATACCCTATCAATGAAATTTAACATTATAAACACAGGTAATACTGAGTTACTGTATGCTATTATAAAATTATTGTTGTCATTAACCTCAGATACTGGAGCTTTATACATGTAATATTGGCATGATAAAAACAGTTAGTTGAATAGAGTAGTTCACAGTAGTGTATCTAATGACAAAGATATAGTGTTTAATTGATTGTAATTGACTGGTCCAATTGTCTTGTTATTTGAGGTTGACTGTTTCTTTTATTTGCATTTGTTAGTCCACATGGGCCACAGAGGCGTACAGGATGAACTATACTGATAAAAAGTAGTGGCAGGTCAGATACCAGAATCTGAACCCAAGACATTGCTACCTTGGGCCCTGAGTCCTTGGCCCCAACTGAGCCACTGACTCAACAAACATATATTTTTTCATCAACATAAATTATTGACATGCCTTTATAATTACACTAGTAATGAAATATCTCTAAATAATAGGCCTATCTAAGACATTTTGGGCCTAACATAATTAAGAGGTTTGAAAACAAAAACAAAATTAAAATTTGACAAAAAAATTTTGTTTGAAATTATTGATTTTTATAAATGAAAATACGACGCCCAAAAACTGTACTAAACATTCTGAAACTATATTAATTTCATAGGCTTCTTTGAACATATGAGAGTAAGCTGATTTATTTGGAATTAATGAAGTCATTTTGTATAAACATGCAAGTAAACAGTGTTTACAAAAGACGTTTCAAATTTGGTTTTGACATCCAACATTTCTAGTTTTCATCAATACAAGAAAGCCTACAACAATTTTGAATAATGACAAAATACGAGGGTTGTTTTTTTTTCAACCTCCGATAGGCTATGAACAAAAGACAAGTTCATATAAAACATTAAATTTATTACCAAAAGTTTGGTCCATTTATGGTTACTTTTTGACATAATCACCAAAGAGATTGAGACATTTGCTATATCTGTGCACCAGCTTTTTAATACCCTCTTCAAGAAAAGTGGCCGCCAGTACATTCCAAAAAACAAAAAAAATTCAAAAAACAAAAAAATGTCAAAAAAATAAAAAAATCAAGAAAAAATAAAAAAGGACTTTAAAATGTCTAGAAATTCAGTAAACAAATCAATAATGGTGAATCTGTGATTTATTTAACCATTCTCCAACTTGTTCAACCAGCTCATTACTGTCGTTTCAGATGACTTGGTTCAACAGTTTGACAGGATGATTAAATAAACCACATAGTCACCATTATTGCTTTGTTTACTGAATTTCTAGAAATTTTAAAGTCCTTTTTTATTTTTTTGTTGATTTTTTTATTTTTTTGACATTTTTTTGTTTTTTTGAACTTTTTTGTTTTTTGAATGTACTGGCGGCCACTTTTCTTGAAGAGGGTATTAAAAAGCTGGTGCACAGATATAGCAAATGTCTCAATCTCTTTGGTGATTATGTCAAAAAGTAACCATAAATGGACTAAACTTTTGGTAATAAATTTAATGTTTTATATGAACTTGTCTTTTGTTCATAGCCTATCGGAGGTTGAAAAAAAAACAACCCTCGTATCTTACCTTTCTTAAGAGAAACTACGTATTCTTCAAGTTTTTCTCGGATCCTTTCTTTCCCTTGATGGTAAAGGAACTCTTTAATTATATCTCCTTCACTGGTTGATTCTTTTAATGATACAGTAATCTGTAAAAAGGGGGGAAAGGAAAATTACTACAAATTCATAGCGACCAAATCCAACTGTGACAGTCTAATGGAAGATTTCATGTAAACAATAATTTCACAACCCAAGCTTTTGTACACTTGTGCTTACTTTTCAACGAACGATTAATGATTGATGAACATTTGTTTAGTTGCACAGTCTAATAAAGTGAAATAGTCAAAAAAACCTTTTCAAAAACTGGCAGTGATACTTTGATAAACAAGTCATCAACTGGTTTACCAAAATAAAAGAGCCAGTAAGTCACACAGGAGATTTCAACTCAGTGCCTCCATTCACCATTGAATAAGAAATGGCAGTACCTATTTGATTTCTGATAATTTTTTATGCTGTACAGTACCTAGTCAACTAGTCTAACTCATTTTTACAGTAAATCTATGATCTGCACAATATACAACAAATTCAAAATATAAACTTTAATTTCAGAAAACAACTACATAGGCGTGACAACTATTCGTCCTTTAAAATATCTGCTAAAAGCGGATTGGTAAAATCCTATTATTAAAGCCCTCGCCCTAGTCAAGCGTGCTCAATATTTCCATTGAGAATATATAAGATATTACAAAACCTCTGCTGTAATTGATGCTCTAAAGCTAAAATAAATTCATGATTCCAACTGATCAATTTTTAACTTAGAATCTGATTTTATGGCGTCAAACACAATTCAAGCTTTAGTATAGGAGTGATTGTAGAGTAATCCCTCATTAAAAACTCACTGTTTTTTTTCTAATTTTTAATAAAAAAAACCAATACCAAACTAAAAAAAATGTTTTACTTAAAGAGATAATACATACATCTACTTCAGAGACATCATTCTCTTCACTAAGGTTAGGAATATTTATTTTCCCTTCGACTTCTTTAAAATCTGCACCATTTAATCTTCCTTTCCATGTTATTGTCATGTCCCATTCATAGAAAAAGATTAATTTTCCCTTTCTGTTGTTGGCGACTGCTTCTCCTTCGATCTTTTCCATTTCGGTAAGCCAAACTTCTGCCAGATCACTTTTAATGCGCAGGCCAAGCAAAAGATCTTTCAGTTTCTCTTGAGACCACGCACAGGCATTTTTCTCTGTCCTATGGAAATACATCAAATAAAAAAACAGTAAAAGATATTAACAACATCACATGATAACAACCAAGTAGGCTAGAGACTAAAAAAGAATTTAAGTGAGGCTTTTATAATGAACAAAGTTATTCTGGTGGTTTTCAAACCACTGTGATGCGGTAAAATTAAATATCATCAACATAGGCAGTAAATATTAAATATTTACTGCCCATGGCTAATTTTGGGATTTTTTTAAGACATTAAGTTCAGCGTTCTATCAATTTAATATAACCTCCAGATACTTTATGCAAGTTTATATAGTAAAATATAGCGTCTGATTTTAATTCTAAAATTATCTAACCGAAACACATGACAGGAAGTTGTAAAAAGTATCTTCATTACCTCCACCCATCTCTTCCCCCCCTCTCATTAAACTCACTGAACCTTCTAGTGTTTGCAGATGTGAGATGATGTGGTCATTGTAGCCGAAAATAAATATGACCTTCGAGCAATAGGCCTAACAGAAATAATAATAAAAGATAAAAAAAAGTGGGCTTACAAATAAATGAGAGTAAAAAAAACAGCTAATTGAAAATAAGTAGGCAAGATGATGAAGAAGACCACTTAGAAGTATTAGACCTACAGGTTCCACAAAGCAAACACGAGGCATCCTCACCCCTGAAAAACACGTACAAACATACGTTGTCTTTTCCCCCATTTCGGACGCCAATTTTTAAGTTAGAACTTTGGTATACGTCTTAACTTGTTCACAAAGAGTATCTGCTTTCATGTATAACCTTAAATTAAGAATTTTTTACATAGATTTTTTTTAAACAATGTGAAAGTAGGTCAATTTTTCTAAAGTTTGGTAACGATTTCGACCGTAATAAAGTTTAAATGTTGTAATTTGCTTTTAATAGAAAGAAAATTCAGCCCTTTCTGTAAACAATGGTAAACATTTCATGTAAAATGGGTGAAAAATAGCGTCCAAAACAGGAGAATAGGAACGCATGTTTTGTAGCCTGAGCGTCACTTGAATTTACCGGTAAACTCGCTACTAGCCATCCTATAAAACTCGATCTGCTTCTCTGACCTACGCAAGGTCGCTCTGCTGACTTGTTGTGCTGAATTGTTTTTAGAGTCTCACTGTGGTAGTAGAACTTACTGTCGAAGTACAATCTATTACTATCATCATTACCACAACACTTACGTATATTGTTTATTTGTTAATTTTCCCACAAGAATTACTGAAACAACAAAAAGCACCATAGATAATATTTTTACTAATATAAATAATGCCTATTTCGATGTAATTGGTTTCAATACTCAGCTGTCAGACCATGATGGTCAACTCTTTGTAATAAATAGTAAAAATGATAGTCCTGATAATGCTGTATATCTTGAATACTCTAGGAACTTTAGCACTGCAAATATAGATCACTTTATTGAAGTTCTTAGCCTTGAAACTTGGTTTAATGTATTTTTTGCTCCAGTTGAGTCAAAGTATGATGTATTTCACCAAACTTTTATGTATTATTTTGAGTTGTGTTTTCCTAAGAAATTATGTAGAAAATATAGACATAGAAGCAGGTGGTTTACTGAAGAGCTAAAGATTGAAAAACAATCAATTATTGAGTTTGCTAACAATGCTAGAATGTTAAAAAGCAAAACCATGTACAAACAACTAAGACAGAAGAATAAAATGTTTAGAAATAAGGTTACAGCTGCAAAAAAACTATATTATCAAAATAAAATAAACAAATCAAGTAACATGAACAAAACCAGCTGGCAAATTATTAACTCTGAAGTCGGTAAGGCAAAAGCAGATAACCACATTACTAGTGTTCATATTAACAATCAATGTTGTTCAGACCCTTATGTTATATGTAATTCTTTTAACAATTATTTTACTGATTTGGTTGACACAAACATTGTTCCTAATTTGGATTCACTTGTTAGGGATGTAAAAGACAGTGTAAAAGTAGTTGAGTCAGATTATATAATTCCGGGTTTTCATTGTACACCTGTTGATGAGAAAGAGATAGACGAAATAATAAGTCATCTTAAAAACTCATTTAGCACCGGCTATGATGAGGTCCCTGTGGTGATCATCAAAAAAGCAAAATTACCCCTCAGAAAACCTATAGCTCATTTAGTAAATTCTTCCTTTGTATCAGGCATTTTTCCTAATAAACTAAAAATTTCTAAATTAATTCCATTATTCAAAAAAGGAGATAGATATGAATTATCAAACTACCGTCCAATTGCTCTGCTTCCGGCCATGTCCAAAATATTTGAGAAAGCCATGTACAACCGTTTATATAGCTTCCTGGAAAGTAATCACCTTTTTGAGGACTGTCAACATGGATTTCGAAGTGGTAGATCAGTTGTGACAGCTGCTACAGAGTTTTTAGAGTCAGTTATTGATTGTTTAGATGCAAAACAAAAGGCTCTTGGTATTTTTATGGATTTAACCAAGGCATTTGACTCTATAAACCACAATCTACTTTTAAATAAATTGTCAAGCATCGGAGTAAAAAATAAATCTCTTCAATGGCTAGAATCATACATTTGTAATAGAAAACAATTTGTAGAAACTATCCAATTCAATAATCAAATGAAAATTACTCACAAGTCAAAAATTAGAACTATTAAACATGGTGTACCACAGGGATCCATCTTGGGTCCCCTTCTATTCATTTGCTATGTTACAAACCTACCAGGGCTGACTAAATCTAGCAAACTTTACCTTTATGCAGACGATGTAAATCTTACAGTTACCGCTAATTCTGAAGAGGAAATTGAAAAGACAGCTAATGCTTATCTAGATATACTTTCAAATTTTTTCCAAAACAATCAGTTACTTTTGAATCCAGATAAAACAAAGTTCATAAATTTTGAGACCCGTCAGACAAGACTTTCAATTAATCCTTCACTAGAAATTAATCAGAAACCTATTGAAGAATTAGAAAATATTAGATTCTTAGGATTTGAAATTGACAAAAATTTAACTTGGAATTCTCACGCAAACAAAGTAATAAAAAAAACTGTATCTGGTCTATTTGCATTAACTAGATTAAAAAATCTTCTTGATCAAGTAACATTAAAATCAATATACTTTTCGTACATACATTCTGTTATTTCTTTTGGAATATCTCTGTATGGCGCTACATCTATCAATAACTTAGAAACAATCCTAAAATTACAAAAACGAGCTATAAGAATTATTTTGGACCTTGACTCGAGAACTTCAAAAGAGCATTTTAGATCATTAAAAATAATGACAGTATATGGATTGTACATCTATGAAACAGTTCTATATGTTAAAAACAGATTTTCTCAATTGGCGTTAACTGGTGAACACCACCACTACAATACCAGAAACAAAACCAACATTGCTCTAAACCGCCACAGATTAGAACTTTACAGTAAAAAACCAAGTTATACCGGCTCCAAATTTTACAACAAAATTCCAAATGAAATTAAATCGGCAAAAAGCATGGTCGAATTTAAGAGGGGTCTTAAAACATTTCTCATCAACAAGGTATTATATTCCCTTGATGAACTTTAAAATTTTTAGAAGGAGTGTTAATTTGTAATTTGTATAAACTTATGTTAGATTTTAAGAACTTTGTATCCATAGAATATAACATTGTAATATAAAAACATTTAAGAGAATGACACTATTCATGTACTTTGTGCTTCAATGAATAAAGAAATATTGAATTGAATTGAATTGAATTGAATATTGAGTCTATTTACTGTGTCATTACGGAAGATAGTAACTACAATCTTAACATGAAAATTAGTGGTTCATATTAATTTTACTGTTTCATTCTCTATTTTGTCCCTTGAAAATATGTTTAAAATGGGAAATCGAAACAAAACAAATGTAGAAAGGTACTGAGAAAAATTTAATAAAACTGTTGTCTGTATATTCGTTATCATTTTATTTTATTTTTGTGTTTGATATGATTGTTTGAAATAACGCTAAAACCAAAACCAACCTTGAAAAAACCATTAATATTGAATGTTTATCCGTCCGTTACGTTTTTGATTATTTTAGTTTCATTACAACTCAAAATTGTCGACTCAGCATAAATCAGCATATCCTAGTCAAATCAAAGTAGTAATGGATAACAATTTAAATAATAGGGTTAATTATAATTTTTTAACAAGTCTAAACTTACTTAGCAAAGCACAAGTACACGGCTAGTGCAACTAAAAATGAAAATTTGAGAATTACTATGGTTTTTACGTAAATAGTGTTTATTTAGCCCCAAGCAGGGGTCATTTTTAAGTGAATTTTCCAAATAGGGAAGCTATTGTCTTAGGTTTCGTGGTAAGACCTCGACCCGAGACCGATTTACTTTTTTGAGGTCCCCAGAGGGCTCCTATTTTAGTGAAAATCCAATCAGGAAAATATAAATTCACTTAGTCTACAGGTTTACTGAGGCGGGATAGGCCTATTTATGTTTAAAAACCTTGTTCAACAAGATATGTCCTTTTCATTCAGCGTATGCCTAAGGTCTAGCGTTCAATGGATATCGTGGACACGCGAGGGTCGTGATGGTGATGTGAGGTGACATGGATCATATAGAGTCTTTAGTGTTTTGCGTGCATTTTTGTCAAATTATGGGAACAGCGTGGATAGGCCTACGCCCTACAGTGAGTCATCACTGCCGCTGCAGTCATTGGCCGTCGGCTACGGTCGGCTACACCTGCACATCACCTGATCTAGTGATCTAGAGCTAGTAGTCCTGAGAACGGCTTTGATTACTGCATCGTGCGATCCTACTAGTCCGGTGGCTTAGGGCTTTAGTTTACGAATACTGTTACCTGGTGGATAAAAGTACCAAATTTGGCATGAGGATACCTAAGGGTATACTAATAAATTTTAGCCTAGGAGCCCTTTTGAATTCCTAACAATTTCCATGCACGGCACCAAAATCAAAAATTGCCGACAAAACGTTCAAAAACCACGTTGGAATATATATTTATGAGGGACCACTACTACAAATAACATACAGACAGATAGGCAGAAACGTTTCGAGATAGGACACAAGTTATACAGGGTGGAACGAAGTTAGTGTTAAAAAATTTTATGTGTTAAACTACTAAGTATTGGTGACAAAGTGGCACCAATTTAAGTTTCCATACCCTCACAGGTAGGGAATAACAGACAATTTAAGATTTTTTCAAAATATTTGTACTTACTTACATAAAATGGCCATAAGTGCATTAAACATTGTTTTTATTCCAAATTCATTGTCATTTTCAAAATCCTCGTTAGATTTCCAATAATAATAGTACAAATTCATTGAGAGTAAACATCTGCATAACCACTTATTTGGCCATGAAAGTTTGAGTTTGTGATTTTTTATAAAAAAGTAATAACTTTTTCCAAAGTCTTTCTATACTACACTGGACTGTAGAGAGTGTCAAATATTACTAAAAACTTCTGCAGTTAATAACCTTTAAAATGATGTATAAACATCCACTGTTCCTTTGATTTGTAGTTCTCAAATTTAAGAGTTTCTCATGAAAAACACGGAACGGCTAATGTTTAATTTCCTTTAAAAAAACATGTATTGGCTTTAATGATATGGCAACAGCTGCTTTAAAAATCATGTTTAAATGGGTATTATTGCAATTTTCAGAATCCTTGTAAAATTCCTAATAAGAATATTGAGGAATTGTTAGGATTGACACTTTATGAACCTATGGTTTGTGATGAATTTTCATTTAGGGGGGTTTCTTCTTATTTATTGGAATAAATTAAATATCGTTTACTGTGTTAGTTCTATGGCACATTCAACCGATGTGCGAGATTGACAATTTGCAAAATACACAATTTGAATGATAAGAATGATAATGATGGGTCATATGGTGTGGTTTGCTGGCATTCCAGGTCGCCAGACCTAAGTCCACTGGACTTGCTTTGTGTGTTATGTGGAGTACTTGGTCTACTCATCTTTAGTGGAAGATAATCAGGAAATTAACTACTGGATAATGAATGCAGATGTGCTAGTCAGGGGAACGTTGTATTTTAATGTTACTATTGGTGCCACGTGCAAAAAAGCTTGGCTGTGTATCTGGGAAAATGGAGGAGATTTTGACAAAAAAAACTCAAGTAGTTGGCATCAAATAGAAGGCAACTATTAAAACGTCAAGAGTAAGGAACAGTTATTTAAGTTTCGAATATTGTGTGTTTTAGAATTAACTTTTAGTTTTTGTATAAATAACTAAAACTAAGTATTTTTGAGGTGTTAACAACTATTTTAGTTAAGAAATATATCACTTGACTGAGTTATTTCCATTAGCATGTGTCTTTGCACTACAATCAATTAATTGGTATACTATTCATAGGTTAATTTTCGGTTTTTGGTGAACATATTGACAACATTGTAAAGTGTAGTATCTACATAATTTTATAGGCTACTCCATTGGAAGTATTTGCTTATGCTTAAAAAAAAATTCTTAAGTTAAATGTACCATGTGTAACTTTAAACAATATTCAATGTATTAAAAAAAATACAAATAAAACTAATTTAACAAGTTTTTACGAAACATACGTTTATATGCATGTTAATCCTAATAGATCTTTAATATTCTTACAATAAATCTCACAAGGATTCCAAAACATACAATAGACCCTATTGAAATATAACTGTTATTGCAGCTATTGCCATATTATTTAAGCAAATACATGTTATTTTAAAGGAAATTAAACATTAGCCGTTCCGTGTTTTTCGTGTGAAACTCTTAAATTTGAGAACGACAAATCAAAGGAACAGTAGATGTTTATACATCATTTTAAAGGTTATTAACTGCAAAAGTTTTTAGTAATATTTGACACTCTCTACAGTCCAGTGTAGTGTAGAAAAACTTTGGAAAAAGTTATTACTTTTTTATAAAAAATCACAAATTCAAACTTCCATGGCCAAAAAAGGGTTTATGCAGATGTTTAATCTCAATGAATTTGTACTATTACTATTGGAAATTTAACGAGGATTCTGAAAATGACAATAAATTTGGAATAAAAACAATGTTTGATGCACTTATGGCCATTTTATGTAAGTAAGTACAAATATTTTGAAAAATCTTAAATTGTCTGTTATTCCCTACCTGTGAGGGTATGGGAACTTAAATTGGTGCCATTTTGTCACCAATACTTAGTAGTTTAACACATAAAATTGTTTAACACTAACTTCGTTCCACCCTGTATATTAAATTTGTTGCTTGTTTTGGACTTCCGAATACTATAACCTGGTAAAATGTGTCATAGTGGAAACTGGACACCCTGTATATTGGGTGTTTTCATGGAAAGCAACGTTTTAAATCTTGGTTTTCTTAGTTTATTTTCACTAGCATTTAACAAACACAGACTGTTCTATACATAGATTTCAAGTAAGTTATTTACTAACACTAAACAGTGGGTTATTTATATGTATTAAATAAATAAAATGTGAAACCAGTCTTTCGACTTTTAATCTCACTAAAGAGAGCAGATAAAAATATGATACCAAATTCATATTAGTTTTGAAGTGACTTGTGACAATGATTCTTTGCTTTTTCGATACTACTTCTACCCCCCAGATGAATTATTTTACTTCAGGGATTGAGTTTTGGTGTGATGGCTAAGTAAAATAATCAGTATTTGATCGGAATTAATTTTCCGTATATCGAGTAATCTTCAGTGTAATCTTTGCTCAATAGTTACAACCGATGTTTTTTCCTTCTTACTGTATTTTGTAATTTGCTAGTATACTGTGTATGGCTTGTTATATACACATGTTTAATCTATGTATACACTTATGTGAGTAGTGACAAATGAGTTATGTAGCAAAATACAAATTTTCCTGAGGTAGTGGGTGTCACCAATCACGTTTTCAGGACTATATGTCCATAGTTAAAACATTTAGTCAAAATCCTTTCACTGGATTTTAAAATTTAATTACGGACAGACATACATAGCTGGTATTAAAGAATAGGATAATATATCAAGCTTTTTCTTAATCAGATTCCAAAATGTAAAACTAACTAATAGGTATACAATAGAAAAAATATAACTGCAAACATCCTTCGTAATAAAAAAAATTCCCATGTCAAGGGTGTAGTGTTTATCATAGACTAAATTACTCGATTTTTTTGTGGATCCCTGTCACCCCAGGTCCATGGAAATAATAAACCCAGTATATATACAAGCTGCCATCAAACAACAGAAGCAAAAAGGAGACCAGAAAAATAAATTGCATTCAACAACTTAGAGACGTCCTAAATAAACGTGCCAAAAATTACTTTTTACATTGAATTTTGAAAATAATTTAGTGATTAATTTAGTTTTGAAACCTTCATTACTGTGATTTGGACAGATATTGTATAATTTATTCATTACGATTTGATTTTTATATTAATGTATTAACTGTTGGTCGTATGTTTAATTTTGTAACTATAATTAGGTAATCGTTAATCTGTATATATACATCATGGTATTCATACAAGCTTACCGTAAAATGTGTTAGGATTCAATAATATGTGAAATGCTGTTGTACTGATTTTTTCTTAGAATATATTTCAATACCTGTACATAAATTAATTTACTTGCCATTTTTAACTTTTATATTATTATTATTTGCTGTATTGTACTTTTCTACCTTGACAAAGGTATTATTATAATTATTGTCATGACAAAGAGAGTTTTTGTATTACATATATATAGCATATAAAACATTGAAATATTTTTTGTTATCATCGTTGTGTGTGTGTTGTAACTGTGCAAAAAATTAACAGAAATATCTTCAGTAACGAAATGGTGGCTATATGGTTAACTCCTTAAAATATCCTGGTGTGGTACTGTACTGTATTTTGTTCCATTGGAATAAATTTGTTTACTATTTCCTTTTATTTTAGAAGAATAAAAGAACAGAGAATATAATCTTTTATTAAATGGAATCATATCAATGAAATGAGTAATGCATTTAAAAATAAATTATCACTGCCATTTATAATATATAAACTCTCTTCGTGTTTAAGCCATTTAAAGAGGCCGCCACAATATATATCTTGAACATGTACAATAGAGTATTCTAAGACCGACGCTAGGCAGGGCAGGGCGATGGTACTGCACTGCGCGGACTCGTGGCAGTGCGCGTGCGGTGACGGCTAAAATAACGATGTTTTTAGAACGGCATGAATACTGACCCCGCACCACTTCCCGCTACCCCTCATCTATCACCAAGTCATCCCCCCCAAATCGCAAACAGAGCAAAGGTGATGATGCCTCTTAAGTATCTGGGATTAATCACAAACAATAACAGAGATGATATTGAAATTCAAAACAGACCTGCGGAGGGCAGGAGACCATTGGGACCATTGAGAAGACCAAGGATGAGATGGATTGACGAAGTTCCAAAGGACCTAAGGAGTATGGGAGCAAACCTGGAGCTGGCAGAGGACAGAGGATCCTGGAGGCACATGGTTGGCGAGGCTAAAGACCACCTTGGTTTTCAATGGCCACACAGGAGTAAGAGTGAGTATCAGGTGGGGGGTACATTTTTAGCACTTTTGTAAAGCATTATGTATTAAACATGGATATTATATTATTTTGAAATGGTTTTAACCGTTGAGAGAGAAATAAATGACTTACCAGTGCCAGTTGTTCACATTAGTGGCATCTGGGCGTTCTTCTACAATCCATCGAGGGTCTCCTTCTCCCCACTTGGCCATCTTGGTTTTACCCAAACTGAGATATTACTAAGTTAAGAGATTTTGATGAGAACTTCAACAGCGAGTTCTGTGAAGAAGACATAAGTTAACATAAGAAAAATGTTTACAAGAACTGTGTGTTGGGACTAGGATAGCTTGTTTCTAACTAAAAATCATAATTAGAGGTAAACTTAGATGGTGGATTAAAAAGAAAAATATCTCTAAGTCCCATAGGATTTTGGGAAGAATAAGTAGCTACACATTGATACCTTCATTGATATGATACAACAACATGGGGACAACAGAATAAGTTACTTAATAATTAATACGCTAAGTTATTTGTAGGTATAGATTTACTATCAATAATTTAAGTCAATGTTGTTTTAGCAATGATAGGTCTAACACCAGTGAATCCATGTTACATTTATTATCCCTAGCTAAACTTATATATCTATACAAGGTAATTTTCTTAAGTTTAATTTTATCAAACCGAATGAAGTTTATAGCATCAGCAGATTGTGTACAATCAATTGTATTGTACAATATAGCCTACAATCAATTGTATATTGTATCATTGACTAATTGTATACAACCAATTGTAGCCTATATTGTAGACAATCAATATTATATTGTATCAATCAACGTTGTAACTTTAAGTGAAAACAGCTCAGGTCAGCTCTAGCTTGAATGCATAATGAAATTGAATGGAACAACGTAACCATCTGGTGGATATAGCCTAACGAAATCTATCTGAAATTGATCTGAACTACCAGGGGTAGGCTAGTTCAGATCAGGGGTAGTTGATCAACACCGCCACAGGGGTGTTGTTCAGGGGTAGTTTACCGTTTTTATTTTAAGAGACTCCTAGACGGGTCTTTCATTCAACAACTTATTCAGCTCTTGGTTAATCTTTTTGCCTGTCATTTCCCTCTAATGCGATCTGGTCTACAGTTATTTTACGGATGTCGTGGGACGGTATATTTCCCAAAGGGTGGTTCCGAAACCGGAAGACGAGCTTTGACCCAGATGAGAAGTGTTATAGATACGTAGGTTGTGGTTTTTTGGATGGCTTAACTTAGTGCATCTAGGCTAGATGCTTAATAAACCACGAGCATTTATGTAGTAGGATTTCAGTTTAAGAATTTATATTCCTGCTTCGATCAATTACGGTAACTTACTTAAGCATAAGCTTAGGTCTATTATGGGAAAGAAGAAAGACCCCAAAAAAAACTTTCTGCAAGCTGGTTCAGGTGAACTCAATGGTTGCTTCTGAATAAGTTATTCCTTATAAAAATTAACTGAAACAATTGTACCATGAAAGGTGCAGTAACATAAGATAATAGCAATAAGTTACTGTAATGGTATAACTTACGGGGTAACTTGAACATTGGTTCAACTGAACAATAGCCTACAACTTAAGGCTTGGGTTCCAACTTTTAACCAATCCGGGATTAAGAGTCTTCGCCAGTTAAATTGGGTACACTTCCGTATCTGTTGTCAAAAACAACCGAATGGAAAATTATTCGATATATTGATTAGCCTATTTCATTTGGTTAGGTAAGGTTAACCTATCCAACCATATGATATATTGAATGAAATAATCTATATATGGGTCGATATTTTCATTCGATTGTTTTTGGAAAGTCTACCCAAATTAGCCTAGGCCTATAGGGATTAGGTCTAGAACTGGGCTAAACTAACTTATATTTTATAAGTTTAAAGACCACCATTATTTACCTGTACAGTTATGGTCTGGTATGTAGACTATTATGATACAGTTATGGTTGATAAGAATAACAAATAAAACACTTCTACTTTTAAGTTAAAAAGGCTTAGGCCTATACCTAGCCTACCTAATTTAACCTAGGGAAATGTGCCATGTAGTTTCCTACCGTCAACCTATAACTAGAGCGTGAGCTAAATAACTAAGAGGATGAATGAATGAATACCTTTAAATGCGTTGCTTCGAGGGAACGAAGAATAAATACTTGGTTTATTGACAATGAGTTTTCCTAGTATTCGTGTGTTCGACCGGCAGATAATTCCTAACCAGAAACCAAACCACCTCAATCGGAATCCAAACCAAAGATGAAAATCTAAAGCGAAGCGACAGCTAACCAAAAACCAAACACCTGGTCTGGGACTGGGAAGCTAGTAGAACATATGGCTTTTTGGCTTTTGGGCCTTTGGGGCTACGCACGATTGTTGGTTAAGGTTGGTGTTTAGTCTGCTTTTCTGAAGTTCTGCTGAGTTCGAGTTCAGTAGTTCGAGTTCTGCTAGCTAGAAAAGAAAAAGAACAGGCAGAGACCATGATAGAAGACATGTGAAGAAGATTCTAGAACAGAGGTGACAAGACCATTAGGAACATTCGATAAAATACTATAAGGAATGTGTTTAATTTATAGCATAGATGAAATGTAATTGTATTTATTTAAATCATGTTCGTTTGTACATATATTTTACCATAGATCAATCAAACAAGTATGTTTTATTTGTGGTGTCATCTTTTTTTACGTCATATTAAATTAAATATCTTGCATTGATAAGTTGACTATAAATAGCCAAGCCATGAATAAAACATAAGTTCCTTATTAGTCTATTTAATAGCATAAAGAAGTAAGTTATAGAGGAATCATTCAATGGTACATCCCGCTGGTGTCTCGGGCAAAGTCCAACACTGCCCCCTCGTGCTCATAGTTCAGCTAAAACTTCTGGTCACGCGGGAGGTTCGCTACTAGCCTCACTGCACTAAAAATACATCAGGTGCCGGTTAGTGGCAGTGCTGTGGGTGGGAGTTGGGCGAATGAGTGACACCGAGTAACAAGTCACTGATTCTTTCACTAAAATTACGCCACCAAGACTCACCAGTTTTGGTCGAGCCACAGAAATTTTGGCCGAACTGTACACAGCGCTCATGGTGGATGAAGTCATGAAGACCATATGAGCTCTGTGCGATAGGAATTCCTCCTGCACGGGGCTTTTTCCATGCTCGTCACAAGTATATTTTTAGCACCACATACTAGAGCCCACGGTCGCCCCCAAGCAAGTTTCCTCTGTACTTAAGTTACTTCTCTTTGACTAGAGTAACAGAACAGTGTACTTAATCATCAACCTCCAGTCCTCCAAAAGCGGATGGTTATGTAGGTTCAATGAGTTATATGGGACTACTATATTCTTGTTTGACAATTCCATTTAAATATATTTAAAAACCAGCAGTGATACCATTTGTTTATGTTCATGATCCATACCTTTTATATTCTAGTATGTGTAACAGCATCTGACAGGACATGACATTCACTTATGAATTGCCAGAGACAGTGGTTACAAGATGCACAATTATTATGGAAGCTCATCGAGTTTAAAAAAATATCAATATCCTTGCCAAACATGACAACCTGATACCTACCAATGTTTACCTACACCCATTTGTGTTAATTATTATGTTAATTTTGTTTTATAACAATAATGGTCATTCATTTTAGAGACTCCTATTATGGGCCTGGGCAAGGCCACACTATATATTACAGGCCGGAATGCTTGAGCTGTGACGTCGCGGAAGAAGCCGGGTCGCTGCCTCCCTTAACAACAGGCTCTTGCGGCGATTCATTGTCATTGCACCCTGAGTCACTGGTTGTGATTTATCTGTACAAACGATATATATTTTATTATTTTGCATTAATCAGCGAACAAGATGATGCAAGAATGTCTTTGAAGAATATTTAACTATGTAGTTTTTATAATAATGAAAGCAAACATTTGCTCCCACATAACATAATAGAACAACTCTATAAAATTTAACACTCTTGTACATAAATAATTAGGAAAAATAAATATACCATTTATTTAACATATAATCATGTATTTTCTTTTAAAGTCAAATCATTAGGTTGATTTTAAATACTCCTGTATTTTGGAATAATTTCAACTTCTCAAGTGGTGATGTTGGTGATTTTGTTTTGGATCAGAGTCAGGATGGAAATTAAATGATTAAATTAAAATTAAATGATGGTTTATACTAGATTTCTTTATTATAAACAAATAAAGTATTAAATCAATCAACTTCAATCAGTATTGCATTTTGATGTAGGCCTAGGCAAAATATAACTTTTATTTCAACTAAATTTCTTACATTTTAAATAAACGAATATGGGAAATTACGATTTACATGGATTGAGGGTGGGTAGTTGTCGGAATGGTAAGGTATGGATAACAAAAAGAGACAAATTACCACTAGCTTATCTAAGCTTGTTATTCCTAGGCCAGAACTGATAAAAGAGCTAGAGGTCATACCCTGTTTCAGAAATAAAACTGTTCAATCACCTTCCATGAGAAATCTAGAAAGAAAGAACTTCCAAACCTCAATATTAGACTAGCTGGTTGAAAATTTTTTTTCAAATTTAGAGTTTTTTTTTTGACAATGTAAGTTAGTTAAGTAAGTTTTCCTCTGAACAGCTTCCTGTTTTTGCATAGTGCATTTTGCATGAACTGCATATATGGTTTGCTTTGTATTATTTTGTACATGGTTTTTAAATTTTTTTGCACATGGTTTGTTTTGATAGATTTTTGCTTGGTTTGATTTTTAAATTTTGATATTTATTTTATGCTTGTAAACTGTTTGACATAGCCTGTAACAATATTGTTGATTTGCCGAATAAAATCATTGTATCATTATACCTGAGTGAAAATTTAAAAACGTACGTTTTCAGGAAAAGCACTTTGCAAATTGTTTTCCCCTTTTTTCAAAACTTTTATTATTTTTTTTATTTAATTAACATTTGAAGTTTCATAAAATGTCCATGGTAACGCAATATCTTTGGTAGTTTTTTTTAAAAAGAGCATCTTTAGTGGAAAAACACAAAATCCTGTCACGACCATAACAGACGTTTAAATGAATATTAAAAATAGTTAATATTATTTTTATAACTATGTTTTGCTATAAACTAATTTACTTTTATGACCATTATACAATAAAAAGGTCACTGAGCTTTTGGTATATTTGGTCTTTCTAGAAAAAAATAAAAAACTCAAAAAATTGAAAAAAAGCCAATAAAATCTTTTTAAGTTTGTATAACTCCGAACAAACTTACCTGAGACCCGAAAAATCGTTATGTTTGTATAAAGGTGTGCTTATTTTGTGTATAAAACATTGAAATATGACGATATTTTAATTTTTGAAATTTTTATGATAGAAATCGTAAACGTGATGGTCAGGGACAAGCGGTTCGGTCGTGAATTTTCTGAAATAATCTAAATCTTTCTAAACAATCCTTCAATTATACTGTTAGTTATAATAGAAATATGTGTTTCAATTGAACTAAACTGTTCAATTTACAATTATATTAAAGTTATTGTCACGACCAAACACACTATAATCCATAAGGCTGCAATGGTCGTGAAAAAACCCGCGATGGTCGTGAAACTTTGGTCGTGAAATTACGTGTTATTTGGCTCTGTTCTGGCGGTAGCCCTGCACCTCATGTTCGAGGATACAAAGTGGACTTCTAGGTTAATCTAGCAATTGAAATATCTTATAAACAAAAATTAACACCATGTCTACTTCATTGAATGACTACGTACGGTCATGGACACACCAAAATTACAAAAAACACAATCATTCCTTTATTAATCTTGTAATTCCTCCTTTCAACTCGAAAGACCGGCACTACAATCCTGACGTACACCCCGAACTAGTCTCTAAAACCAACTGACTCCATCGACGTCAGGCTTGCCACTGTCGTGCTCCAAAGTTGAAAATTATTCCCAAATGGTCGTGACGCCAAATCGAGGGACAGACTTATTTTGTCATGGTAGTCAGTTTGCAATGACAATAAAATTATAATATGCTCCTTTTTTGTAAGTTTAATAACCATTGATGACATAAAAATATGGCTTTATATATTTCGGCATGAATAATTAGTCTAAAAACAGCGTGAAAGTTGGAAAATGTACCCTAGGGACACGTCATGGTCGTGAATTTTGAGACTTTAAAAATACAAAAAAAATACCTAGAACCTATTTAAAACCAAATAAATGTGTGTAACATGTTGCCCCCGTCCCAAAAAATATTAAAACACATAATAATAGACTACAAATCCAGTATCAACGAAGTAAAAGGCCAGGGACATGAAAACGTACGTTTTTAAATTTTCACTCACCTACCAACGTGTTTACTTTTTTAAATTCCTTCTACAGGTGACAGTTTCTTTTTTCAAATAAATGTTATTTTAACCAAACAGCTGTTATTGTAAACACACTATTTGTTATTGTTTTAAATTTTCTTAGTTTACTTATTTATTTGGCAATTGATGCAGTGACAAGCTAAAAGAAGGATTTGAAAGTTTGAGAAAACGGTAACTAAGCATACCGCACTTGAGTGAAAGGTCATCTTCATGTGGAACTTTCCCCGTAAAATATAAGTTTTTTCGATAAACACTCTCCTAAGGGCAGGAACCAAAGTGCTTTATTTAATAACATTTTAAATATTGTAGATACATCAGCTGTTACTTGAATTTTTTGGTTTTATAGTTTGTTTACTTTACCTACCTTGAGTTAATCTTTTGATTCTACCATTGATTACTTTATTGCATCATGAGAAGTGGCAGTATGTTTTTCAATGTTCGATGGTGTTCAATCCTTTGAATTCTGTTTAAATTACTTATTATTTCAATTTTGTATATTTAAATAAAACACATTAATTGATGTGAATTAATTAAGTGTTACAAGAACCATAGAGTTTGGAGGAGCCCTTATGTGATCCAACTGGGAAAAACACATCTGTAGAGCATTTTTCATCATACGATCAAATTAATGTACATAAAGAACAAGCGTTAAATCATCCAGGAGTTTGCATTGGACAAGACGGTGAAGAATCACCATATCTTCCCTGTGTTCTCTTCCTGTGGCAAGGCACGGGCAGAACAACTAGTTATTATCAATTGTCATCTTAAATTACAAATAATTAAAGGGTAATAAGCTAAATGAGAAGTTGTTACTACAAAACTGCATTAATATTGCACTTAGTTGACCACTAAAAGATAGCTTAACTCAGCAAGGGTGGCAATCGACAGGTAATAGCCTACCGCTGGCGTTGACCAAGTCTGGGCTTTTAGCATTCTGTGATGTAGAAGCCCGAGTGGAGGGGGGCACTCCGGCCTGTAGCATAGTGTGGCCTTGGCCTGGGCGTTTGGTGTACCATGTCAAAATTGATCATCCGCTTTAAGTTTTTCAAGTCTACTTTGCGTGTTAAACGGATCATTTAAAACTATATATTTTGAGATTAATTGTTGTGCTTGTGATGGTTGAAATGACAAAGTTAAATCAGTAAATGCCTAGATAGGTGGAGATGCAATTGTGATTGATTACGTCCAGTCTCACCTGTTGTCATCAAGTCAAGACAAAATTGGAGCAGGAGCTCCTTGGAATTGATCATTGTTGTAGCATCTTCAATTTATATTTACCAAATATAAATGCTTAAAGTATATGTGTATATTTTTTATTGACAAGTGTTGGAAGATAGGAATTTTATTTGGAAGCATTCTTTAAAACCAAAAGAAAAATTAATCACTTTATTAATGAAATTCATCATAAAACATATCATTCTTGACTCATCTCTTGCACCAACAGATCTTCATCAATTGGTAGATTAAACTGTTGGAAGTCTGCAGCTTGGATCTCCAAGAAGGTGATTATTTCATACACTCTGCCACGGAACCTCTCTTCTTCTTGGTTCTCATAGTCCTGGCATATTTTGGTGTACCATCCTCTAGCTCTAGACATCAGCTGATCCTCTCGGCTGTCTATGATCTGTAGGTGTACATCATGAGAGGTTGCTACAGCTGTGTTAATTGTCTCCTTGTCCGCCATGATGGGACGCAGAGTCGGAGGAAGATTGTTAATGTCTTCGTTTCTAATGGTCATCTGTGTTTGATACCTGGACACATAGTCACCCATCTGTTCACTGAACAATGTTTCGTATTCCCTCATGTTTGTAAAATGCCCTTGAGCAGATTCAATTAAAAAGCTCACCATGTCTCCAAGACTCCTCTCAAATGTTGAGAAAACTTCCTTCAATTGTTCAGATAACATTTGTTCTAAGTTGAGCAACTCTTTTTTTACAGTGGCAACAGCTACCATCGCTCTGTCTACACTCTCCTCCATTGACTTTCTTATGTCTTCATCACTCCCGTTTTGTGGCAGTATGTTTAACAAGTTTGAAATGTCTACAAACATGTTTGTCTTGGTTTCTATGAACTTTTCTAATATGTCTTTTTGTTTGTTACGACTCTGTGTGATTGCTTGCTCAGTTCCTTTTTTATACTCTTCGATTTCTTTTTTTCTCATATCAAACTGTTCTACACCCAAATTAAAGATTTCTGTTGTTGCCAATCCTATGTCGATTTTAAATTTTGAATATACTTCTTGAATTTCTTCTCCTAATAATATCATCTCTTGTCCATTCGGATCATTTTCAAACATGGCGTCAAACAGTTGATCTTTGTCCAATCCCTCAACAAATGCTTCATAGTACAATGCTTCTTTCTCAGCTTGAACCCGCTCTTCCCTGATTGTTTCTGCAGCTTCAGATTCTTCTCTCTCAAGGTTCTCCAGATCAGTTGACCAGTCTGCTCTGCCATTTGTTCGTTCTTCTTCCGAAATTACCTTATACTCATAATACCTCAGTTTGGGAAGGTAAGCTGCAATGAAATTCCTAAATCCACTTTCAGCAGAACATGGATTTCCTTCCATATTTAATGAAAACAAATTTAAATTTCTCAAGTGAAGAATACACTGTTTATCACTGATTTTGTTATTTCCAATTGTGAATATTTTCAAATTCTCCAGGTGATCTAAATTCTCAATCACGGTAATTAAATTTGAAAACAAAGACAAGTGCCGTAAGTTTTTTAACATAGAAAGATTTTCTATTTTGACAATTTTGTTGAAAGAGAGGTTTAAATCTACCAAATTAACCAGCATATCAATATTTTCAATTTTTTCAATCAAGTTTCCGGTAAGTTTTAAAACTGTGAGAGCTGGCATAACCCATAGGTGGTCAATGCGGGTAATGTCTAAATGTTCTAAATAGATTTGTTCAATTTCTTTGTAGTCAAAGTCATCTTCTTCATCAAGTTTCATCCCGGAAATGTCATCTTTAATCATTTTTGTAACAACACCTTTTATCATTTCTGAATTGATTACTCCTGGGCGAGGTCGCCACGCATCTTCATTTTGTAGCTCCATTCGGAAATTAGTTTTTGGCACTAAACCTTGAGCTATGTTTGTATAATGTTGTAAGGTTAAGGAGTTCAATTTGTATACCACTTACCAGCTGATAGACACACTGAATTAAAAATTATCAATTTACCTGTACCTCAACTGGCTTTAGTAAATTACAAAACTAAAAAACATAAATATTTAAATAAAGTAAAAATATTGACTTTGGATACTTCATAGTGATGTCTACATGGTTATAGGTTTGAATCTTGAGCCAACAATTGACTAAAACAATTGAGCCAAAAATAAAATAAAACCCTTTTATAAACTTTCATGCGTACAAAAATCTGTGGGATCAAAAAATAATAATATTTATTTATTCAAAACTCTTCAGATAGTATTTAGGACCCTAGGAAATATTTGGTCTAATTTATGTCAGAGGACGATTGTGATTGGTACAAACGATAAATGGACATTTAAAAAGTAAGAACACTGAAACAAAGTAGTTTTTCTTAAACGCAATTTTATTAGAAATTATTACAACAATATCCTTCTTACTTTTAAAAATGTACCGTATTAATATGTATATTTATACAAAAATACAAAACTATATTTATATATATATATATATATAAGTATTTACATGGAATGGCTATAACAACATAGCCGTATTCTCAGGCTTCCCAATTAAGTACTTTACTGTACAACTTAAACCCCTGAATGATTACCGTTGTATTAAGTCCCCATTCTCTATATCCCTACTAAAGTTCACGATGTGCTGTTTCATAAAATTGACATGTCGCTGCTACTACAGGCTTAAAAAATTACACAAATTAGGTTTTTACATAAGAGGACATGGTAAAAAAGCATTATAAGTTATGGTTTTTTTATGTAAAAAATAACTATTATATGCCATAAAAACGTAATATTTTAGTGAATGAGACACAACTTTCCTCAAAAATCCTTGCAGAAGACATAAAAAATGTCTTTTCTTAGCAATAATTATTTTATAAACAAGGTTTTCTAAAATAAGATATATAAGTTAATATATCTTTCAAAATTGTAACATGTAAGCAAACAAGAGCCTAAAATGAATCTTAAAGCTTTACCTTTTCAAACCAATTAGGATATCATATTATCTGTACCCCAACCTTCATTCATGTAGATTTAGACTGGATGAGAAATTATTGAACTTTTCAAGAGGCTAAACATTCTGAAAGCCTAGAAGAATGTCTGGCCTGCAGTAGGGATGAGAATAGATAGGTCATTCATCGACGTCAACCATCGACGTACCGATAACATCGTTGCAAAAACATCAATGTTTTTCATCTGCTTTTTCTACTCTCCAGTAATGGAAAACATGGATATCTCAATACTTGGTCAAAAACATCGATGTTTGACAAAATTATCGATGAAACAAAAACATCGGTCACAGCTACCATTGATGTAAAAAACATCAAACATCGATGTTTCAAAAACATCGACTATCGATGCTCATCCCTAGTCTGCAGGCATGGTTTTACATGAATGGTGACCACAAATTTGTCTCAAGTTAAAATCCACGTCTCATACAACTTGATCCTTCACTGTTTCATCTCCTGCTTCTCGTTTGGCATTCCGTTCATTCTCCCACTTGTTTACCATGTTGAGAGGATAGCAGATGACACCTGACAAGAGAATTAAACTTCCAGAGAGGATAAATGTTATGTTGTGGTTTCCAGTCACCTCCATGCAATAACCTGTCAAAAAATTTTTATTTAAAATAAAGGAACAACACAATTGTACTTTCATGTAAGAATTAAAATCAATATTCCAAATTATTACTGTTGCACCCATATAGGTGAACAATTTATAACTAGTTTTTAAGTGTTATGGCACCTAGCCTATATACTTTTAATACTTGTTGTAGTACTTTTAATTGAATGGTGACTATACAAAGGTAGGCATTTTAAGTCAAATATGAATGGAGGTGAGTGTAGGATGAATGGCGCGATCTTGTAGTCTTGTTAGTGACTAAGGCCGACATGTTCCTTAGACACAGCTGTTAATTGATAGCCCATACAGAGACAATGGTAACTAAAGGACCTAAAGTTTATAGTGGAATACGAACCACTTTTGCCTTATAGAATTAACAAATTGGGTTAGTTATCAAGATTTCTTTTACATGTTTAATCCAAGTTTCGTGGCCATCAGTCCAGCGGTGTCTATGAGTTTATCACTGCCAAATATATACATACAAATATACACAGTACTCGATTTTGCGGAGGAACACGGGGGAACAGAGTTCTGCTACCTCTCTTTCAGGAAGATAAAAGTATTGGCATTAATAGGTACATAAATCACTTAAATAGGTGACAGTTCCGACACCTAATTTTTCACAAATCGAGCACTGAATATACAAATTAACATCCTCTTTTACACAAGAACAAAACTTTGTTTAGACTGTTGCCTCACATAAAAAAAATGCCATAGGTATAGATATACACAATATAATGGTGGTAAAGCAATTAAAAACGTTTTTTTTTAGTAATAGTTAACTAAATAGTTGTTCAGCATAAATTAATGTTTTGTTTTATAAGAGTATCATTTATGAATACCTGCGATAGGAGAACCTATAGCAGCTGCGACCCCTTGGAAAAGCAGAAGCAGTCCGAAACCATTTGTCAGCTTTTCAAGTCCAATAAGTTCAACAATCAGGATTGAACGTAATGATGCAAAACAAGCTGTAATACAAAACAGTAAACTTAATGCCTTTTTTAAACAATGAAACAAGTTCTTCACTATTTTCAGAAGTACCAGTAACATTAAATTAATAAAAATTCTATTAAATCAACATACTATTATTTTTGCAGCCAAGCTATATTAATCAGTTCACTTGGGCAAAGAATGATTCCAGCTATGGCAGAAGCCAAATAAACGATTTTCATATGAATACTTTTGTAGGTCAGCCTTTTCTGCAATTGTTTGAACTTGAAGAATTGAATAGCTTAGAAATATTCTAGTTTTTAATAGAATGCTGGCTCGGCTCTAACTCCAGGAATAGGTTAGCTTCTCTCAGAGTTAACCCTACTGTCTTTTGTAGGCTTGGTAGCTGCGTGTAGTGCTCCCCTGGTAAATATAGAGTTGTCAGTTCAATCCTGAGAAACGTCACAAGCTTTTGGATAATTCAAAAGAGGCTCATTAATCATTGGGCTTTCAGTTCATGGTGCTGGAACTAACTGATCTTACCAGTTCAATCCTATTCCTGAGAAACGTCAGAAGCTTTTGGAAAATTTGAAACAGGAAGATCTTATAGATATAGAACATTGTCCTGACTAAAGAACCAGGTGAGCTTAATCAGTAAGAAATCTGTCACCTCTTTCAACACACATCTTCAAATTAAATCAAATCAAAATCTGTTTTATCCCAAAAAATGTTTGTTTACAATATATAGATACAAAATACAAATACCCCCGCCGCAGCAAACCTGCAGACTTAGCGAATTTCCATCTGCCTGATTGGATTTAAACTAAAATGTCTCCTTAAAAATATCACATTTATTCCCTATTTAAATTAATGAGTACTTAGGTTTGCTGCAACAGGGAGGGTAAAAAAGTTGTTTTTTTATGTAAAATATTAAAAGGTACTGTGGTTTAGTAAGAAATTTATGTATTTTCCAAATTTGATCAAAATATGTTCATAAACAAGCAAACTACAACAGTTGACTTATTCTCCATAAGAATAACATGAGAATTTTAAAATTACAATTTTTTTGAATTTTCTCCGTAACAATTAGGCCCATAATAACGCTTCAATATACTAAATTATTAGTTTTTTTAAGCTCTACAAAATGGTTTAAAAAGAAATCGTTAAATTTTGAGTTTTTAGGGTCAAAAATAAGGAAAACCTATTTTTACCCCATAAAACCCCCCATAAACCCCCGTTCCCATAGTCCGATCACGCTGGTTCGCGAACTCATTCAAGTTTATCCCGCCTTACACCTTCAAACCAAATTTTATCAAAATCGGACAAAAATTACTCAAGTTATCGTGCGGATGGACACATATATATATATGTATATATATATATATATATATCTCTATATATAGATATATAAAAATTTGAACGAATGGTGTTTTTGGCCTCTGGGGACATCAAAATGAAAAAGTAAATCGGTCCCGGGCTTAGGTCTTACCATGAGACCTACGGTAATAGCTACTTCCCTATAGGGAAATTCGCTAAAAATAGTCCCGCATAGGCCATAACCACAAAAACACCTTCATCTTAAAACACACACCCTGGTGCGTCGGATTGTATGAATCTAAAGTAGAATGAATTAACAATCTATTCTTTACTCACATATCGCAAGTCCAAACAATGCAGCGTAACCAAACTGGAAGGAGTCAGACATGGAGATTCCGCTGAAGATAGTTGCGATGCCGCCTACTGACAGCGCAATGTTGGTGATGGCCAGCGCGCTCACCTTGGGTAGACTGGTGACAATGCCGCAGAAGATACGACCCAGGGTGTTAGTGATGCCGATGGTCGACAACAACCACTGTGCCAGGTCAGGGTCCATCCCGGCAGTCTTCGCTCTATCTTTGAGCAACCCAACAAGTGGTTAGTTTTTACTTCCATTACGTTTGTGATCGAAAATAGCCTACCATATATAATTTAATGAAAGGATGATGGACAATCTTGTTTTGTAATAAAAATCTATATAGTATCCGACAGAGTGTGATATTGTTGATTGATAATTTCTGATGTGTAGGCCTACACCTACTTTTTAACCAGGCCAATCTGACACGACAACTTAAACTGTAAACTATGACATTGTACATCCAATTGCATCGATAACTGAAAGAGGTAGTATCATTTTGAGTACACACACTGCGAGTGGCTATTACGGTAAAGTAAAAATTGGCTAGAGCTGGTCCATGTAGATAGGATGTCTACTACTGGTATACATTGTTTGATGCCAGATTTAAAGCTTAGAGAAAAAAAAACTTAAGACACCTCTTTAATTAGTTACAGTCAAACCTCATTAATACGAACCTCGGTAAAACAAATTCCTCGATAAGACAATTTTTTTTAATGCCCCTTGAAACTTTCATAAAGGTCAATGCTAAAAACAACTCTGTACAACGTAGTAATTAGGTTACAAATCTCCATAAGACAAATTTGTTTGTGTCATGAGCTAGGACTGATTAACCTCTATACAACAAATATTCTTTGCACAAAATCTCTACAAGACGAATTCGACCTCTATAAGACAAATTTCTCTTGATATTAATCTCTATAGTACGTAGCTTTCAAAACAAAAAGAAGCCTGTCTCAACACGAGACCCCCACCCATTCCTCTTCCTTCCTCAGTCATGTCTTAGAGCGAGGAGAAGCCTCTAAAAGACAAATAACAGCAGTATTAAACCTTGATAATAAGAACCTCTTTATTAAGAATATTTGGATAATACAAATTTTTCCCCGACCCCTCGAAATTTTTCTTATAGAGGTTCGAATGTAAAAGTTTAAGTGTATACAGAACTTCTGATGAATCTAGTCTGCACATCAGCCTTTATTACAGCATACCCACTTACCAGTGAGGAACATGAAGGGTATGTAGAAGCCCATCATGGTTATGAAGCCGCTGATGCAGAGCAGAAGGAAGGTGGGGGAGGTGAGTAGATTGATGTCCAACATGGTAGCCAGGGTGCGCTGTACAGCCTCTGGACACAACGTACAAGTATTTGTCTCTTCCTCCAGCACATCATTGAATGTTGGTAGCCTTGTAACCTGCATTGTGTATTCCAGCCCACTACCCTGTCAACACAGTAGAGATTTGCTTAATGCTAGGACTTATACTCGCCAGTACTGATTACTTTGGTTTGCTATCAAGTATTTGTAGTCGGGTAGTACTCTGAGTACTGTCTGTAATCAAGTAAATGAACATGGTACTATGACTCTTCTACTCACATTGGTCACTTAGTAACCAGGTGTTTCTGAATCTCTTGGTATTCCTGTACTTTTTTGTGTGTGGAAGGACCACATCAATTGTAGAATTGTGCACTTCTACTGGCCCAAATGAAGGTACTTTTTCAAGGAGTACATTTGGAGTGCACATGTTATACTGTGCAACGAAGTAACTACACCGATCATGAACCTGAGTATTAGGTTACCGGTACTGAAAGAGCTAATAAATACTCACACTTAATATTTTCTAAATCACGTATCCAACCTTTGTTGTCAATCCATAGTGTAGTAATAACGAAATATTTATTACAACATTACCAAAATATCTAGCCTGAAGAAATTTATAAGGCGTTTTGAATCCACTTACTGTTGAAGCATACTGTGGTAATCTGCTTGGGCTCGCTTGGAAGAAGATATCGTCTCGATAGAATGGTCGAACACCAGAGGAAACTGTCGCTCTTCTGCTGCGAGGCTGACCCCCGCTGCTGGCGTCCGAATAGGTTCTACCTCGCACTGTGTGATACCTGCCATCACAAAGTAAATGTTGAAAATGTCTGATTCTTACTAACTTTTGCTTTTTGTAAAAAATGTGTGTTTACTTTTTTAGACTTTGAAATATTTTTGGAGTTGGCTTCCCAGTAGCTTATGTGGCTTATAGGTACAACCCTTTCTTGGAAGCCAGAACTTCCGATTATAAGCTCAGTCAGCTATAAGATAGAATGTCAATTCATCACTCTATTCCTTTCTCCTCTAATTTGAGCCTATATGTTTGCTTATTCACAAGTTGCAACTATAAATTAAAATGTTGTTCAACAACTATGTATACACACCTGAGGCTGATGCTGTTGCGCCGGACATCAGAAGCCTCAAGTATGGCACAGGCTGCGGCCAAGCGGTGTGCGGCAGCTGAGGTGCGTCTTTGATAGTGATCACTATTAAGGTGCTTCGCTAGTAAAGCATCATCAGGGAAGTCCGTGATTGATCCATTTGACAATTTAGACTTGTTACTAGTATTAGACTTACTACTGTTCCACATCTGTCCGTTAATTTTCTTGTCTTTGTAAGTGATCACATCGAATCTTCCTTTATTTTTCACCACATTTTCAGTCTTAGGAAGAGCATTGTTGGACGGGAATATGTTCTGTATTGTTTCTCGGCTTTCGTGAAGTACTTCAGCCACTGTGGCATACTTCATGTTGTGTCCGGCCTTCAAAAACCTCCGGATATCTTTTGGAGGCTGTGCTGTGATGCTGACTTCGTTGTCAAAGCTCAATTTAGAGTCGGCTCTCTTAAGCTCCTCTCGTGCGTGTTTGATCTTCATCAGTAGCGGGAGTTTGTTGGACTTGACAGTTTCCGTGTGGTCCACTTCTCCTTCATCTTCGTTGGTTTCTTCTTCTTCCTCACTGCAAGGAACTGTTACTTGAACTGGGAGAAGTGGCCGGAACAATGCTCCGAAAATTGCACAGCAGAAAACCATTCCTGGAAAAAAAGGCAGTCATCTATATAGCATTGAGTTTAATGAGTGTTCATGTTGCACTTCCCTTTAGATTGAGGATTTTTGAAATAGGAGTAATTAAATTTTAATTAGAAATTCATGGAGTTTAAAAGGTTTTTTATATAGATATACTATATTGTTATAGTATGCATACACTATAGGCACTATAATGCCTGGTCTATTACTTTGCTCTTAGAATCATTTGAAAACTATTCTCACCTTGGAGACAAAAAGTTGTAAATTTTGCTTTCCCTGAGATTGGAAATTATGTTAAACTCAAAACATGATTTAAGTGGGGAAAATATGTATCATCTTTGGCCACTCAGCTGGATGATGATTAATGCACCACATATTATCAGCAGTACAGTAGACGCCCACTGACGTATCTCTCTTAAAAAACTGTTTATCGACAAACAACACAAATAAGTTATAATTTTTACCAGCCTGTATCTGTATTGCTCCTCTCCAGCCATACTCTCTGATGAGGTAGGCTGTGATGGGGGCTAACAGGAAAGTTCCAATGCCTGAGCCACACACGGCGATGCCAGTTGCCATCGCCCTCCATCGCTCAAAGTAGAAACCTGTCGTTATCACTGCCGGAACATAGATCAAGCCAAACCCAATACCTAATCAACAAAAGTGAAACTTTATTTTAATAGTAGGATGAGTCAATAACGTTCACTTTTAGAAATAAAATAGCGATCAAATATCCTAATTTTTTAAATTTAATAAAAAAAGTTCTTCCTCTTCAGGTATCTTTTTTTCTTTTCCCCACCATTACCATTCAATATTTATGCCAAGTAGCTGAGTCGTTAAGTTGCACCCCTTGTAATCAGAAGGTCTCTGGTTCGATCCTTAAAATATCAGAATGTTTTGGTTTGAAACCGTTACCAGCTGCCCTTGATCATCGGGCTTTTACCAAATGGCCCTGGCTAAAGAGTTAGATTGTCTTAGCAAGGAACAAAACTATCATTTAATCTATTCCACACTCGTTCTGCTTTCTCGTGAAATACTACTAGATAACCATAACCCGTTGCTTGTAATTGAGCAAAATTTCAACTTTTAATAAAAGAATAATTGTACTTCTGAACACTGTTACAGTTTGGTGACTGATGCGCCACTACTCAATCAATCAATCGTTTTAGTTCGAAGATCGTTGAAGCTTACCTCCCAAGACTCCGTACGTGAGACACAAGTACTCGATACTGTTTCCGAAGCTTGCGGCCAAAAAACTGAGACAAGCCACAACACTGCCAAGAATAGCGACAATCCTGAATCCATACCTGTTAGCCAATGCGCTTACAAATGGTCCTGAAACAATAATCCTATACAAATTCTTTTCTGAAAAATAGTCTTTGGACAGAATATTGATATAAAAAACTCTAAAAGCCCGACAACACAGGCAAGTTTACAAGCTGTTAGTTAGAAAGCACGATTGTTAGTGGTTATGGCTTACAACTTCCGCTATTAACACATTCCTTCAACATTACCAAGACTAATCCAACAATCTTTGTAGAGAAAGCGGCTAAAGTAGCTTCTAAACTCTTCCTGTGAATATAATTGATACTTCATCAAATAATAGCCACTAAAGCATATAAGCAAAAAATTATTTACAAACAAGCCCTCATCTGTTTGAACGTGTTAGCTTTTTTAGTATAGCTTATTATAGCTTCTTCAAATATCTATTTACTTGCTCTCAAACATCATAATCTTGTATAAACTTGTGGCATCCCATCCAAATACAAAAAAGTATGATTTCCTGTATGTAGTTTATCTTTACTCTATTTTCAAGTATATATTCAAGTTTTTTACTGCATTTAAATTTAGTTTCAACACCATTTCAGTTTCATGTTTTAATGTTGTGATTAATTTAAACGATTGTTGGTGGGCTACTCATATAGCTCTTGCTTGCCAACTGCTGGAATAAATATCTAAATAATACTTGATAGTAACAGCTGTCTCTAAGTTTGTTTTGGAGTTAAGTTAGTGAGGTTGAGGATAAGGCTGTAACTGAAATAAAAATATTTCTCTGATACAACAGTACGGTAATGCTGAAAATATTTTCTAACAACTTACAAAATCTCAAAAATCACCTGCCATCAAGTAGAACCCGGAGAGTAGGGAGCCCATGAGAGTCACGCTGGCTTTAGAGATGTTGAGGGACTCTGATATATCTCCCAGGAAGACACCAGACGAGTAAACGATCCCGTCTACAAAGAAATTACACCAGAACGAGGCAAAGACGATGACCCAACCCCAACCTCCATCTGGGGGAACTGTCACATATGTGACGACAGTCTGCTCTCCGAGCATCGGCAACGACGCCTTCCTATCCCTCTGTTCTTCTTCTGTCTCTCCTTTTGAATTCATCTGTAAAAAGAAAAATTTAGGTTTGAATCTGCGTTAGCAAATGTTAAATTAAGGATGAAATTGTTGGTTGAAAACAACAGTTTTAATTAAGTGAGCTATTTTTCAAAAGGTAAGGTTTTCAAATCACAATTGAAATGTGTAAATAGTTTCAAATTAAAATGGTATTGAGAAAATATTGATTCAAAAGAACCAGGGAACTAATGATTTATTATGTGTTTTTTAACGAATTTCCCTATAGGGAAGTAGCTATTACCGTAGGTAAGACCTGGACCCGGGGCAGATATACTTTTTTCATTTTGATGTCCCTATTGGCCAAAAACTCTATTCGTTCAAATTTTTATCTCGCAATCTATTAAAAATGAGAATTTCCGATGATCGCACAGGCCAAACCATAGCACCTAGAAGCATGATATTTTGTATACATATTCCTCTCATAGCGTAGGCAAACAATAAGAATCGATTTTACAAAATTCCCAGGGGGCCCTGCCCCACAGAAGGTCAAATTTAGCATGGAGGAATCATACTAATATTATAAATGTGAAAGTTTGTGTGTTTGTTTGTTTATTTGTTTGTTTGTTTGTTTGTTTGAAGTTCAATCACACATTAACTACTGGTCAGATTGGGCTGAAATTTGGTATGATGATAGCCCACATTCCCGATTAACATATAGACATATTCTTATCTCGAAAATCCTCCCGGGCTCCCCCCCAGTGGCTCTGGAGTATCCCATGTTAACCTTATGAGTATTCATATTTAAAATAAATCATAGCATTTTGTCAGCTGTTTCAATTAAACAAGTTGGTTCTATGAAATTCAATATCATTAAATAGTTGTAAGGTTTACCAACAAGGTACAGCTCTAATTTTTTGCATTTATGATAACTGCTAATTTGAACCAAGCAACAACAAAAGGCTGCGATACATAACTTAATGAAAACTGAAAGTACGGTAGGATTGTTTACAGTTAAGTTTATGTTTTTAATTTATAAATAGTTTTTGGATATTGTGCAAATATTCAAAAATTTACTTTTTTATTGTTTATAGATGTAGTGGTAGAACATTATGGCTATGGTAGGTATGGTATACTATGGCATCCCGTAAATTAAAAGAACTAAATTTTCTACAACCGTGTCATCTCCGATTGCAAACACAAAGCACGATTATAACTGAAATAAGCATTTTATACATATACGCGAACCCCGTACGAAGGACGGGTATTCTGCTAGTAATTAATAAATTAGGAATAATATAGGAAGAATGATTTGTTTTGGGTTTTTGTTTACATTTGTCTGAAATTTATTTAATCATCAGCTGTTAGGTTAAAAATGAAGTTTACTAAGGTTATTTCGGACCTTATAAACATCTTAGTTGTGTGTCAGTGAAATTAACCTAATTTATTGTAGAATTTTACTTTTATCAACTTCTAATATGTGTGATTATTGTTGATCAAAGTAGAATTGAACTTGTTTAAACCGTTTCATAGTATGGACACTGAGGTTTTAAATGTTAATAGTGAGTTTGTTCCACACAATATCATTCACATCAGAGGAGATGGTGTGTGTTTATTTACTTCACTCTCATTTATAATTCACCTTACACACTCTAATTGTGCGGAAGCGATTGTTGAACATGTTGAGAGGAACTGAGACTACTTCTCAATCTTATCCCACGACAGTGGCGGGAATAACCTTATTCCGGGGAATACTTCTATGAAATGTCCAAGCCTTAAGTCCGTTGTGTGAGCTGGTTGCGGCTTCACAACATTTCACATTTGTTTACGAGGTTTATCGGAATGGTGAGTTATATATTAAATAATATGTTAAGTTTGGTGATGGACGTAATCCCGTGAAAAGACTCAGATTTACACAATCCCTGTCTATCGGGCACTTTGTCATTTTAGAGCCACAAAAATGTAATTGAGGCCATAGTGATCACCGGGTGCTCGAGAGGAATCAGTTTTTATACCACGACTTCCCCTGGGTCCTACGGACTAAGCGTTTGATTTTAAAAGGTTGCAATTCCCTTTGAAAATGTGCTTTGCCCTCAGCATCAACAAAGTGCAGGGACAGTCACTTAAAATCGCAAGACTAGACTTAAGAGAGGATTGTTTTTCTCATGGACAATTTTAGGTTGCATGTTCAGGGGTCAGCTCAGCCACAAGTATGGTGATGCTAGTACCTTCTGGTAAAACAAAAAATGTTGTATTTACAAATAAATTGAGTACCTAGCCTAAAATAATCAAAAATAGTATGAATAACGAACACACTTTTAACTGCAGTTTTAATCATTATTGTAAAATGGAATATAAAAATTAAAATAATTTTATGTTTATTTAATGTGTGATTATTTTATGATAATCTGGCACTTAAACACAAATTTCTTAAAAGTTTCAACCAATTTGAAAGTTTTCGTAGCGAAGCACGGGTATTCCGACAGTATATGTAGGCTATATATATGTCCGTGAAGCGATAACTTGATTAATTTTTGTCTGTTTTTTTATAAAATTTGCCTAAAAATATTTTTATAAAATGAGTTTGCGAACCAGCATGATCCGTCTATGTCAATTGGGCGCTGTCAGGTAAAAATCAGTTTTTATAATTTTTGATCTTTAAAACAAACAGTTTCCTAATTTCTCTTTAAACCTTTTTAAAGAGTAAACAAAATTTGTATATTGAAGTTCTTTTGTGGTTACCTACCGGTATTGGTTACAGAGGAAATCAAATAAATTGTAAATTTAATTCTCATGTCATTCTTATGGAGAACATGTAAACTGTCATAGTGTATTAGTGTGCTTGTTTATGAATATATCTTGATCAAACTTTTCAAATTTACTTTTTCCATACTAAGCTATTCATATCTATATATATAAAATCCAATGTATGTTTGTATGTTTGTCCTTTATGGACTCCAAAACCACTCGACAGATTGTAATGAAACTTTCAGGCATTATTAAGCATTATTCAAGGATGGTTTGTGTGAAGTTTGGTGCAGATCCGTCAATAGGGCTCCACCCCAGTGGCTCTGGAGTTTCCCATGTTAACCTTATGAGTACTCATATTTAAATGGAATTAAAGAATCTTAACAGCTGGTTCAACTAAACTATTTCATTCTGTGATGTTCAATAGCATAAATAGTTAATAGATTTACCAACAGGGTGCAGCACTACTGTATTATTTTTTTAATTTATGACAACAGCTAATTTGAAACCAAAAGATGAGTGAGCATAGCGAACGGATTTCAACCTGGATGCGAGTTTGCGTAACGAACGAGCTCACCTGAAGGCAAGTGAGCGCAGCGAACGAGCTCCAACCTAAAGGTGAGTGAGTGTAGCAAACGAACTTTAACCAGGACGTGATTGAGCCATGCGAACGAGCTCATCTTGAAAATGAACGAGCATTTGACATAAAACCACATTAGGACAGGACGACTGTCGGGCCATCTAGTTTTACTATAAAACACACTTGATTGTACACTCCCTGTAACAGCAAACCAAGGTACTTGTTAAACCTAATGTTATTTAAATAGATTTAATTGAAAATCCAATCAGGTAAACAGAAATTTGATTAGTTTGTAGATTTGCTGCGACGGGGTATATCTTTTTAATAGAATGATTTCATGCACCTTGGCATACTGCTGCCATGAACCCTATCTGAATGTAAACATCTGTGTAAACTCAAAACAGTGGGAATTGCACAAGACAGACGCCATGTTGCACTATGGGAGACTAAATTAATGTTTTAGATCAACCAAGATGCTTTACAATTGCAGAGATTTCTTACAAAAATACACATTTTTTCTAAAAACTGTATTTTTATATACCTATTACAAAAATGTTATCAATCAAAAATTGCATCAAGAAACAAAAAAGTCACATGTGTAACTTCTTGATGTTGTTTATTATTTGCAGTATTTGTGTTCTAACGCAACAAGATTACTTATAGTTCTCTCTTCAAACTTAATGAATTGTTCAAATTTAATGAATTATTCAGTGAGCTAATTGATTTTTACCTAGTTTTTCCTTCATGTTAGAAAAACATTTTATTATTTTTAAAAGATTTTTTATTGGACTCACACACACAGCTAGATAAGCCAATAGTAGAAAAAATCCTAGTTGAGGTGAAGCTAAAAAGGAATCCACCCTATATCTGAATGTTTTGAAATATATATTATTCAATTTAAAACCTAAGTTGTCACATTATAGGTGGTTCAATCAGTAGTATTTAAATTACTTTATAAGCAAAACGTCTTTAAATGTATTGTATAGTTGTGGGATCACAAAAATGGCTTTTGTGAGCCAAATCTTCCAGATTTGAATCAACTGTTAAATAAATCTAGGGATTGGAGCAGATTATACCTAAATCTATAATTTTCTTAGTGTATTACAACTGATTATGAACTATTAAATTAAATTCTGATTACACCCTAAATATAAAATACAAAGGAATTTCATCAATGATGTCAAATTTTATTTTGAGATAGGTAACTGGCAGTAAAATGGCATCGTTATTCTTCTAAAGCATATCCTCGTCTTTCTAAATTGTTGAAAACCTCAACATCTGTTTTGTGCCATAAACTTCAATACAAACAAATTGAGACAATGCCTTATGTGTGACCGAAAATTACCAAACTAAACTAATAGTTGTTGGTCACTCTTGTAGCATATTTGTAAAAATCCCCCATACAATTTTGTAAATCAAAATGAGTAGTGACTATAGTATTTATAGTAGTGACTACTATAAATAAATTAATACTAAAATCTCTTAGAAAAACTGTAAAATTAGATAAAACGCACGCATCGCGTTAGAAGCCGATCTGCTATCACACCGTAGCCAACCGCAAAGATATGTGTTCAATGACCTTGAACCACCAACTCTACCACATGCTTATCAGCTGAGCAGCTGCTAATGGAAGATAGCTGTTGTATCGTATAGTTTCAGGTTTTCAGGACAGTGCTGTTGCTGTTGATTGGCTCCGGTGGGAAAGTTCGCAGCCTTTCAGATA